TTGCGTACTACCAATTCGAAAAATTTATTCTTACTTTTGTGTACTACCACATTGAAAAATTTACTTATATAAAAGCACATTTTGAGTAGACTCTTTTTTCCTTGGTTTATATAACTTAACATTTAGGCACAAATTGGAGCTGCATTGACCCCAGCTTTTACAGCAGAGTCATCACCAGAAATTTTATCTGCCGCAGTAAAAGTTTGTGCAGTGTTTGTAGGTAGTGGTATTGTCAAGGAATTGTATAGAATGGGTCGTATACTGAAATTACTGACTACTGCTTTAGAAAATTGTAAAGGTAATTTGTTAAATATAAAATTAAGAATGATATTTATGATGTTGTATTAACATTTGCTTTTCTTATAAAATTAAAATTATAGATAATTCTGGTGTTACAACTGTTGGGGATATTGGAGATTTAAGCCCTCACGCAGCAATAATGGTAAAGTTATCGGTTTTAAACGCATGGGCAGAATTACAAGTTTCAAGTGTTAAACAATCTTATCTTGTACAAGTTGTTGAGCCGTATCCTTCAAACCTTTTTGAAATAGATTGATTTTACTATATTTATATATTTATGAATGCCTTAACTTCTGAACTTTCAATAGAAACCTTTCATTATTAAGTCAATTGTGGGTTACATCTTTAAAAGAATATGCTAGAGTGCAAATTGAACCAGATATTGCAGAGGCGCAAGCTAATAGTATAGGATCAGATTTGTTACAAAACACCACACAAACAGAGGTTTTTGATTCAATGTACAGTGGTTTAACAAGAGAAGTCATTTTGCCAGTGATTATCCAAGTCATTTAAGATTGAGTTTTTATTATTATTATTATATTGGTCTAAAGCTTTCTAAACGAATATATGTTTTTTTTTGATAAATGATTGAATATAGTATTATAATAGATCATGGTTGACAATCTTAGGAGCAGTTGCAAGCTTGGTAGAAAGTGAAAATGAATTGATAATCTCTGCTTTGAATGATAAGGAAAACGACAAAATTGATTTCACATCATTAAAAAACGATGATGATTTTAACGATTTTAACGATAATAATGATGAATTTCAAGATTTTAATGATGCAAGTAATAATGATGATTTTGAAGATGAATTTTCTTCATTTACTGACATACAACAACAAGAAACATTTAGTTTTTCATCAACAATGGTTCAGAATCAGCCGACAAAATATTTTTTTATATTGTTTGGACTTTGTATTGAGGCATTGTCGCAGACTTTTGGAGGAGGAAGTACTATCAACAGTGACAACGATAATGATTTAAACAAAAATGAAGATAAAAAGGTTGTTAAAACATGTATAAATGCATTGAAAGCATTTTTGAGACCTATATCAGCAGGAACTAAATTTTTAGATAAACAAAATTTTGTTGAATTAATGAATTTATTTGATAGATTAGTACTCACAGAAGGATTTCAAACACAATTTGACATAATTCAAATCATTAAAAATATTGTTAAAGACTACGGTGCAACGTATATTTGTAGTGAATTATCTGAAAAAAGGTTTGTTAATTATTATAAAAGGCTTTTTATTGAAAAAAAAAACTTCGCATTATCATTATTATTTTTATCGTTTATTTAGTTCCCCAAAATTAAATGGTCATACTGAAGAAGATATAGATGATGATAAATTGTCTGCAGATGATGTTGAAGATAAATCAAAAACAATATTATACCAAATATTAAGAGTGCTTGTCAATATATTTTTTCAAAAAATATCATTACTTTCATCCAGGCCTATTACAATGAGAACATTTAGGCCTTTGCAAGGTTTATTTATTAGTTATCTCTTTTTTTTAAATAATGATAAAATCAATAAATTAATTTATACATACTAATTAATGATTTTTATTTTTTTCTCAAATTAATATTATTCAGGAAATTCAAAAGGTCAAACATTACAGCAAACCACAACAGTTTTAAAGGCTTCACTAGAAATTTTTACATTGCTTGTTCCAATAGTTCCAATAAATTACAAGATTGACTTGGTGGCAATAGCATTTTATGTTTATATGTGTAAGTGATTTTAAAAAGGAATTTTTTATGGAAATCATTCATATGTCTAAATATTCCTGATGGTTTATTATTTAAATAATAGCCATAATACAAGATTTGAAATTTCAAAATGATCTTGTGCCAAATGTATTAGTTAATTTAAAAATGTCTTGTGCAAGTTTGGAAGATCAATTTACTGAAAAACAAGATTTTGAAAATTATTCCAAGGTTTTACAATCCACAATATCTTCTGCAATATCCAGAATTTTATTAAATAGGTAAGACTAAATTAAAGATTTGCGATTTGTTTGAAACTTTTTATTGATCTAATTAAAAATGTTGTTTAGTGAAGCTACATCGGATGAAAATGAAGTATCTATAATAAAAAATTGTTTGTTGGCGATAGTTTTAATTTTCACATCTTGCCCAAATGCTTGTTTGAATAACAATGAAATACAATATAAATTTTTGGAAATATTGAAAAATAAATATAAATCCGAAAATACTATAGTAAGTTCATAAATTTATTCATACTTGTTTACTTATATAATATATACGAATTATTTTGATCGTTTTATTTATTAACTTGTTTATAAATAATAGATCGCAATCACTTCATTACAATGCACACGTACATTAATACTATTATCCACGAAAACTTTCAATAAAGAATCTACCACAAAAGCTTCAGTTGAACTAAGTAACCGATTTACCAAAGTTCTTATACCAGAAGTTGTTTTGTTTTTAGAATCATCCAGAGATTTGATTGAAGATATCAATGATTCAAAAGTTGTTGAAGAAAAATTAAAGGTTGTTGAAGAGGCAATTAAAACATTATTAACAATGAATAATGTAACAAATGAATCGCATAGTAAGCATTATTGAATGATTGACCATTGACTGATTGGTTATATTTATTATTATTTTGAATGATTATAAATACAGAATACTAATTAAAATTTATTGTTTTGAAGAATCGATAATACTAGCAATTATATTGCCGACATTAATCCACTTATTAGCAGACCCACCACTAGATTGTTATTTATCCACTACCACCACTCCTCAACAAAAATCATTACCACCTTTGCACATATTATCCATGACAAACATATTATCGTTGGCTACATCACAATCAACGTATTTTAAAGATGCTGTTAATTTATTATCGCCAGAGCCTAAATCAAAATTAGAAGCAGCTATAAGATTTAATGTTTTGTTACAACAAGAACAAAGAAAATTACATGAAGAACGCGAAAAAAAAATTAATGATGAGGTTGGATTGAGTAAAGGTCCCAGTATTTCATTGAAAAATGATTTTTCAGGATTTTCTTAAATAATCATCTGATTATTTTCGTATTTTTATTTATTTTTGCATAATGAAAAATAATAATAAATCATTGAATAAGATATGGCTACAATGAATTATACTACTAAATAGTTGCATAAACATCAGCGATTTGAATTCGCACATCTATTGAATTAATAATTAAAAAATGTTCATTAAGATGTGGTACATTCATCACATATTATTTATTATTAAAGGTTAAAAAATAAAATTACGTGTTTATTGAAGTTTTTAATTATTATTTATTTTTTAAAAAAAAAATAGCTAATCAAATATATATATATATAATTTAATCAATTATTAATAAAAAAAAAAAATTTTATTTCTTTATTTTTTTATGAATTCCATTGTTCTTTTCAACAGACCTCTTGTGGTAATGACTATTAACAATATTAGTATTATTCGAAGCTTTATGTTCTTTGATGTAACAAATATGACACACGACATTATTTAAATCGCTGATTTTGTGTCTAGAATCTTTGGTTAAAGACTTCCAATTTTCTGGCCACCATTTTAATGACTTGTTTATAGAACATTTCATACATTTATAAGTTGGTGACGACGTTGATATTATTCTGGATTTCTTTAACTGATGATTATCGTTGGAGTATTCATTGTCTTTACACATCATTTGGTTTATATTCATTTCAGTAGAATTCTTCTCCTCCTCTTTAATCATAGCTTCGATACTATCAATGTCCATATCCTCGGTCACTCTAGAAAACCATGGCTTTTGTAAATCTATAAAATCTGTTATTTTCTTTGGAACTGTAAGTTTGTATCTTTTTTTGATCTTGCTTTCACGAGAAGACGTATCATATTGTTTATACTCTTTGATATAAACATAGATTGCCGACTAAATGTTTTATAATAAAATAATAATAATATGAGTAGATCAATAATTAATCAAAATAATTAAAATGAGCATTTGATTAATAAAGTTTACATACTTGACAGGTATACAAATCTCTTGTGCTCAATCCAACAAAGTTATAAGGTAAATTTCCATGATCATGGCAACTAATTGTCGCTATCATCTCACCATCCAAACCATTTCCAAAACAGTGAACAGGCATGCCTGCAGTCGATTTATTAATATTATCTTGAGTATGATTAATATTAATATATTTCTCTGAAATATTTATATATTCATCCGATATCATTATATTGTTGTTTTCACGACCTAACAATTTTATAGCTTTGTTAAAATTGTTTGATGAAAATGTTGTTTGAACTTTATCATATTTTGGCGAATTGGAATCACCAATATTATTATTAAAAGATTTAACTTCAAATCCAATATTATATCCTGCTTCTCGAGCACATGTTACATGGAAAAAATTTCTACATTGATCATAATACGAACATTTAACGCAGGCACCGGCACTAGATTTACATATTGTGCATACCTAAATAAAAGTTAAATTTTCCCACAATAAAATAATATGATTAAGGGTTGAAATTTATCATTAATCAGTGATTAGAACAATATTATATCCAATTATCATTGCCGCCAGCATCATTGTCATTATAACTTACTGCATTCCAATATTCTTTATCTATATCATCGACATCCATTGCAACAAATAATTTTTTTGCATCATAATAGGTAACCTCAGGAATAAAAGCACTACATAAAACATGCACCCAATTGTTTCCATTTGTTCTTTTCAAAGAATTATTAGTTCCTTCTGGTTGATCACATAATAAACATTTCTTAATCTATTAAATAAATTTTAAAAATAATTATTTATGACAATTAAATAAATACATTTAAAAATAAAACAAAACACAACTAATTTACTTTTATTGCACATCGAATTCTTATATTTAAGCATGGATCACAACGCCACATCTTATTCATTGGTTTAACATTAGTTATTCCGTAACAATCTATTAAAGATCAGAAATAAAATTTTTTTAGGAAAAAAAAAAATTATTCAAAGAAATAACAAAAAAAAATTTCACCAACATATAAATTCTTTAATATATTAAGAAATTTTGTTTAACCTGTATGTATGCATACTTGACAACCGGCACATGATAGAATTGGATATTTTGAATTCATATTTCCACCACAAACTATACATGGATCAGTTGCTATAGGTGTATTAGCTGGTGATGGAGGTTCTGGTGTTCCATCATCATCAGAAGATATAGAATTAGAATGTATATTACGCGACTTCATTGTTGGTAAATCAAAAGATTTATTTTTCTTATTACACTTTATTGTCATATTGAGATCATAATGCATAAATAAAAACATATATATATATTGAAATATCATCAATTATGACTTATTAAAGTAAAATTAAATGTTTATTCGTCGAAAACTTTATACACATGTAATATTTATATGTGTAGAAGTAACAGTATTTTCTCGAACAAACACGGGGGGGATTAAAATATGCAAACAAGTATCTTTATCGGTTATTCAATTATTAAAAAATTATAACGCAACTCACCTCCTTATCTAAAATTAAGCCATTATTTGACCCCATTCTACTCGAATGCCTCCTTCTTTTCATCAAATTTATTCTAGAGTCTTCTGCTTCCTCACTTTTAAGAGATGGCGTAAACAAGGATGTCGAAGACGATGAATTTTTCATATTAAACGATATTTTAGTTATAAAGATTATACGTATCAAAGTGATTTAATTGTTGTAATTCAATTAATTGGTCTGTATGTTTGATTTATAAGAAAAAAAATTTTTTTTAGTTGTATCGAATGATTTTTAAAAGTTACACGATTGAGTTGACTGAATATCTATTATTTTTGAAGATCGTTACACGATTTATTTTAGGGTTCCGAGTTTTTGCATCAGGGTAATTTTCATTAAATCCACTTAAAAGTTTATTTGATTAGGAATAATTGCCAGTTGTTTGTTTTTCCTTCATTACAATTATCTTCCATTTTTTGATGGGTAATTATAGGGTTCTGCCACAAAAACATTTCCCCCCAACAAATTTTGTATATTAAATGGTCTCCTTACCATTCAAGGCCCAAATTTTATAGCAAATTCAATAACAAGTGGTTTCATTATAGAACTCCATACTGCATCCATGTTTCAATCTGTAACAAGGCACAAAGGACCAAGTTGATGCCCAAAGGGCAGTAGCAATATTATGATGGTGACCGAAACTGACCCATAGTTTAGGCATTTAGGCAATTTTGGTTTTGGCCTAATTTCGCCCTTGAAAACTTTCTGGTGAAATTGGCGAAACTCAAAAATTGCCTAAACTATGTGCGAAATTCCTAAACTGTGGGCGAAACTCCTAAACTGGCAAACTTATTAATATATTAATATTAGTGTTTAAATTTCTAACTATGCATGTTATGACCTGGGACTGTTAGATAAGCTTTTCTTGCCAATGTCCAACTATAACTTTGTCTGTTTAGTTTTTGTTTTTTAATGGCAGTAGTTGCTCATTTGAAGACGAACTAGCCATGTCTCTTGGTGAAAAGAAAAAAATATTAATTCTTTTATTATTATTACATTATTTTTTACAATAATAATAGTAAAGTCAAAACTAAATTAATAGATTAACATGTTAAAGTTTTGTTATTTATAAATTTTTTAATCATAGGTTTGACAGTTTAGGATTTCGCCCACAGTTTAGACAATTTTGAGTTTCACTACTAGTTTAGGAACCTAAACTCCTAATGTCTGTGGGTGAAACTATTTTGGATTTTCTAAAATCATTTCAGCCATCATCATTAAGCAATCTATACAAGAATACAAATATTCAGTCTGTAACAAGGCACAAAGTGCCAAGTTTAATGCCCAAAGGGCAGAAGTGTTCCATACAAGCATACATATATTAAATCTGTAATAAGGCACAAAATTCCAAGTTAAATGCCCAAAGGGCAGTAGCAATCTATGAGATAAAATTTCTGAAATAAAATGGGTAGGGGGTAAGGTCAAAGTTGGTGTCTGTAACTGTTTTCATATTTTTTGCAATTGCAACCCCTGCAACCTCTACAACTGTCCAACTATAATTATGTGATGACTTAGTATCAAAAATGAAATCATAAAATGATTTATTAAAAAACAATTAAAAGATAATTTATGGTAATCATTTAAAATAATAAATAGTAACAGTAAAAGAAGTGGGGATATTATAGTATATCTATACTATAATATCCCCACTTATTTTAGACTATAACTCCCACTCCCACGTGCGGCCATTTTTTATTTTTTAGCCACCCAGATGGAATCATGGAATTTGTATGTGGCCAATTTTTTGTTTCTGGCCACGTAAAAAAATAGTATTCATATGCATACTGACATTGCATTCACTTGTATGTCATCATTCGATTGCGGGTTGGTGAAGAGTCATTTTCAGCCTCATTCGAGTGAGGTGTGTTTTGCATTTACGTAGCACTTTAGGAAAAGCAATCTCGAAGGCGGGATGTGTCTCAATTCACAATTTCGAACGTGGCCAATTTTCAATTTCTAGCCATGTTGATCAGGTAGTAAAAAATAGTGTAATAAAAAATTTATCTAGCATTGAAATCAACAGTGTCACCAAAAGTCCATCATTATGGACATCAATAGCAATCACTAAAAGTGTAGATAAAAATCTGACTCCACCATGTAGCATCCATATCCATTGTCAACATGTGTTGACGATCACCCATAAGTACCACTCCAGGAAAGGTGTTAATGGCGTTTTTTTCTTGTCACAAGTGTCACAAGTAAAAAAATCAGCTTGTGACAGAACTTGTGACACCTTTCTTGCTCTTTCATTTCTTTATTGATTACTGTCACAAGTGTCACAAGTAAAAATGGGGTAATTTATTAGAAAGAAAATAAAATGAAACCAACTTTGATATATACTATCCCTATAGAAAATAAACATACAGAATGTATAAGAATTTCCCTATATTTGATACGGAATAAATTTTTAGATATGGAATGGACGGACGTATTTAATCTACGTTTTGAAATTTATCAATGTAATGCAATTTATGGATGTATATGGAAAATGTACAGAAAATTGCGAATTTCCGTATATTTTACAATTTTTCCGGAATAATTCTGTATCTTTTACAATAATCATTTCATAGCAATAAAAATTATAATTCATATGGAATTTCCGTATGCAAATTTTTTATAGGGTATATATGATATACCTATAATAAAAAGTGGAAAACGCAAAAAAAATAAAAAATAAAAAGTGGAGTATGTGAAAATAACTTGTGACACTTGTGACAGTAATCAATAAGACTCACTTTCGGGCTTGGAACTTCAAAAATATTATTTCTAGCCAATTTTTTTTCTTGTGACAACTTGTGACACTTGTGACAGTAATCAATAAGACTCACTTTCAGGCTTGGAAGTCTACTTGAGTAGGTAACAGTATAGTGTAAGTAGGTAACAATATATATATATTGTTACCTACTTATGGTAGACTGTTACCTACTTATACGATTGGTTCGTATTTTCATCAGTACGACGAGTTTGCATTTGCGTCGTACTTTGAAATACGACGAGTTTGAATTTGCGTTGTACTAGTAGTCTAATAAATTACTACAAAAACGTATAAATAGAACCTCTATCCCCCCACTTTGGGCCAAAAAACCAATTCGTAAAAAAAAAAATACGTATCTCCTATACTACATTTCCTGACGATCAGCCAATTTTTCGATTGCGAGGATGAGGCACAAAGTGCCGAATTGGCAATCTGTATTTTGGCTTTTTACATTGCATTCGAATGCCGATCAAGGGTGAGGTACGTAGTGCCAAAATAGTATTCATGATCTGGTTTTGCATGACGCATTCGAATACCAATCGAGGATGAGGCACAAAGTGCTGAATTGTTATCTCACTTGGTAGTACGCCAAAGCATAATTTCTATAATATATATTTCTATAATTATACCTTGACATACTACCGCGAGTACGCTATGTTTTACGTCTCTGGAAGCCTTTCTCGTGTAGTTGGTGCTTTGACATCCTACCGATTTGAAAAATTTTGGCCTTTTGCATATCACTTTATATACTACCGATTTTCCCCTCTTTCCTGAAAAATTTCTCTCTTTGACGTACTACCGAAAAAAATACCTTGGTGTGCTACCACTTCATGTCAAAAAGTTGGTTCATACTTTGGCGTACTACCGGGTTGAAAAATTGGCTCATACTTTTGCGTATTATTGGATTAAAAAATTGGATCATACTTTGACGGATCATACTTTTGCGTATCACTATAAAAATGTCACGATCGGATTATTACTTTGGATCAAAAAATTGGATCATACTTTGGCGTACTACCTTTACGTATTACTGGATTAAAAAATTGGATCATACTTTGACGTATTACCTTTACGTATTACTGGATCGAAAATTTTATTCTTACTTTTGCGTACTACCGAAAAATTTCACGCTTTTGTGTATTACCACATCGAAAAATCAATTAAAAAATCCACAAGTTTTAATAAATTCACAATAAAAATGTATTCATATAATCCATTTCTGCTTCCAGATACAATTGCAATAATCGTTCAAAAACTCCCATTGGTTAGTCTTAGTATAGCTTTATGGATTAACCATACTTGGTATAAGGAAGTGAAACATGAATTGCATATGAGGCGCGAAAAGTTTAAAAACCAATATTGGAAAACAGTGTCAGTAAGATATATGGAGATACAGCTTAAAGAACAATGTTGGGAAGAAGAGGGTAGGCAATTTAGCGACTGCATGGATACTGATGACTATGAAAAACACATCGAAAGAATGAGATTTTTAGATGGGGAATGTCATAAATTCTACTACGAACTAGTAGAGGTAGAAAAATGCATGTTACAAAATAAATTAATCGGAAAAAGAGAAAGAGGCGATTTATTAAATCGTATTAATCATGTTAATAAGAATATGTGGTTGCATCCCTGGTCGGAATATGAAATAGAAGAAATGATTAATCCTATAGATTATGAACTTAATATACTTTTCGATACTTAAATCAAAACTTTTTAGATTCAAATAGGTAATAAATTCTCAGCTACTCGATCCACGTATAATCCCGGTTTCGCTTTTTTTATTCAAAAAATTTATCGCACTTTTGTGTACTACCAATTCGAAAAATTTATTCTTACTTTTGTGTACTACCACATTGAAAAATTTACTTATATAAAAGCACATTTTGAGTAGACTCTTTTTTCCTTGCATCTCATATAGGCTTAATTACCATGAACCATATAACTGCAAGTATCAAAAAAGCAAGAATCGCATACATAAACATAGGCGAAAACAAATTACTGGTCATGATAGGTACTGCCCCAACAGGCAATATCTCGGTCATTTCTATTCACGAGACATCCAGAAAGAAAAGAAAATTCCAAGAAAAAGAAGATACTTGTCAAGGCAAGCCTAGGGGCACAAAAACACGAAA